AAGGTGCACTGAGTGAATCCTTTTTCCTAATCAAAGGACAGTATCGAAGAGGATTGCGGTGTCTCTCTCTCTCTCTCGCTCTCTCTCCGTCTGTAGAGTCAGCAGCATTCCTCCTCGTAGCCCCCTCAGGAGCCTCTCGCTGCCTTCTGTTTCACCTCATCAGCAGAGTTCACGAGGGGGTCAGGTCCTGCCCCCCTGATGCTGCATTCAATGCAATACCCCCCCCACGCTCAAGGAGTCCGAGGACTAAGCACCGGAGAGAGAAAACATATGATAACTCGCTGGTTTTGATTTCTACCGACGCTGAGAAAAGGGGGTCACCTCTTCTGCTCGCTCCTAAATACAGAACTGATATTGATCCCACAGAGCGTTAACTCATGTGTTACCCCATCGCTTAGTTTTGTGATTCTTTTGCTGGCAGTATTTTGTGTTTTTCTCTGGATATAAAATCTTTATTTTGTTTATTGATCTACGAGGGACAGCAGACATTAAATAACATTTAAATTTGCCAGATTTAGCTAGAAGTATGATGTCCATCCTTAGACCTGGAGCGGGATGACATAACAAATTATAAGAAACAAATAAACAGGCATGACAAAAAACACAGTGTGGAGCTAAATCAGTTACTATTAATTAGTGGATAAAGAAAATGAATCAGAAACAGTTTTTATAATGATGTTCAAGTAATTTTCTTCAGCAAATATACCAAAAAACTCACTTATTTCCTCTTTATCTTGATTCGTTTTAATAGAATTATATAAAAAGTGAATATCTTTGGGTGTTGGACTGTTGGTCGGACAAAACAAACAAAGCTGTTTTAGTATGCCAACACAGGGTTAAGGAACCAGTGACATTTTTCACTATCAAACGACATTTTATAGACCAACGTTAGCTGCAACCCTAAAGCAGACATAAAACCATCAGAGCACATGTCGGGAAATATCACATAAAACGATAAGTAGCCCAATAAAAGCTGTTATAGAACAGACGTATACGGCACTCGTGACATATAACTTCACAACAACACGTGAGACTAAACATTACAAATATACAATATAACCTTACAAGCACAAAGGAACACATAAATATAGACTTCACTCAAAGACTGAGGACACATGACGCGTTAACTAAAATGAAAAACAATGTCACAGACATGCAGACTTCAAATATAATAGAGAGACGTTGATGGACGGAGCAAGATAAAGATATAATCCCTATTTCCATGTCTTTCTACAGCAGGACATCTTCCACATGTGTAGTGTACAACATTATTAGCATACATCAGCATGATTTTTAGGTAATCAATTGTGATATGCAACATTTTCAAAGCATGAAAAAGCGGCGCAGATTAGGAAAAGAAGAACGTAAGGAAAAGCTTTTTATTCCGACAGCGCTCTTTATTTCCTCCCTCGTCTCACTGTCTCTGTCCATGTAACTGGCTGACTTAAATGTTCCTATATGGGGCTTCGATAGTGGTTCGAACCCTCTGGAGGAGCATGTTCCCCTGCCTGTGCTGTCGCTCCTCTCACAGAAAAGACACTAAAGCGAGCGCTCACGTTCCATCTTCTGCAGCTCCCATCAGCGTCTTCAGTGCATTTTTGTGTTTTTCCACAACATCTTTGTTGCATTATGACCCCCGTTAGATCTAATGTAACATATTAGTCCTCCCACCCGACCATTTCGCTTCACTTTGATTCAGTCTCTATCCAGCCTTTGATTGACTTTCAGCCTAAGTAAAGTGGATTTTAATGAGAGAATACATTAACTCCCTCTGGTCATGCTCACATAAATCAGCCTTTTCTTGCGGGATCAACTGCTGAGCTCATAACACCATGCTGAGAGAGTGTGAATAACCAAATGAGAGATTGAGTCTGTGGCAAACCGCTGGCAGCTCAGATGCATTGTTGTGTACCCCCCCCCCCCCCCTTCGAGTTTAAAACAAGTTCAGAAAGGCAACAGAACGAGAGCACTTATCAGCACCCAGGTCAGCTCGCTTATGTTAATACCACTTTTGTCCGGATCAATTAAACACAAATATCCAGTCACGTTCTATTGATTGTTTCCTTTCATTTGGAAATGGGGTGACTCGCATCTTTTGTTGCTGATGACCACCGAGAGCAGTTAGATTCAGTTAGCGCCGCCTGCAGCAACTCCTCACCTTGATTTACAAAAGCACGTGACGCACCTCTAACGCCGCATCTATCTGCTTCTCTTTGTTGGTAATTGCACTCAGCTAAATAGGTTACGCTGAAATATCAATAAATTGCCATCAAATTAATGTCAATACCAAAGCTGTGGATGGTGCTAATTAAAAACGCAAAAGGGATGAAAATGAAGTCGTGGCATTGCTCTGAATAATTGATAACGCAATTTATGATTTTTATGAAAGAGTGCCGTCTGTCTGCGATTTTGATGAGGCCTTAATTAGATGCATTAATGTGTCTCTCCGTGCCTGTAGTCAAACTCAAAACTCAAACACCATGATGGTTGTTGGGGTTTTTTAACGCCCTTAATTACACATTTTCAAATAACATTACCTCTTGAATTTGCACTTAAAGCTGCACGGGTCCCAAAGAGGTGTTAGTGTGTAATTTTCATTAAAGGAGGAATAGTTAACTCAGGACCAATCAGGAGTCTGCTTTTGTTTCGGGTGGGATCGGGGACTTGAGCGAGCAGCTTTAAGCAGACGTGATGTTCTCAGGTTGTGCTGCTACCTTGTGGAAGAATCCAGAACTATTGTGCTCATGTGTCCGGTTTTTCACTGAAGTCGTACTCGTGTTTGAGATTCACACAAAAAGCGGGACAGTGAAGTGAGGTCAGGGTCACACGGCGGTAAAGTGTTAAACACGCATGAATGTGTAATGTTTATTGACTCAAAGCAGATCAGACTGATCCCCGTGTTGACTTTGTACCTCCTCGTCTATTAGCCGGACTCGACCTTTGAGATAAATGAAGAGCGAGGGAAGCAGACGGATGAGGGGATTAGAAGTGGGCCGCAACAGGGAAGCAGGCCCGGGGAAAAGAAATGGACGGACTGCCGGCGGATAGATGAGGTGGGGGAGCATAATGACCGCTGTTTGTTATGATGTACTGAATCAGGTTCTCTTTGACAAAACAGTCCTCAGCACCTCTGTATTTATAGTGTCACCGGTCAGTCCATCCACAAAGGCAGGCTGATGATATGTGAGCGTGTTAGTGCCGCGATGTGTCTGGGGCTCTGCTCTGGAACGACCCGCTCATCCGTCAGGCCCACGGGCTGAAGCGGTGTGGGGTTATGGGATCACAGGCTGGATTGTTGTGAACTTAAATCTCTGGAATGTTAGCTAACCACAAAAAAAGAGAAGAAGAAAATCAGCTTTATTTGGCTCAAAGTTATTCCGACAAAACTGCCTGAGGAGAGACTCAAAACAACAACTCTCAGAGAGAGCGTCGCGTAGTTGGAGCGACATTCAACTGTGTTTTCATGTTGCAGATTTTTATGAATGAGGAAGAGGTTCCTGTTTGTCTAATGTTGGGGGACGCTCTTTATTTAAACCAGAGGACCCAGATGTGGGATGACAGGTCTGAATCACACTGACTAGTGTAAATGGTCTTTAAATTGTTCCTGAGTTTCAGACTAAAAAGGCGGTTGCTGCTCTCCCCTGCGAGGCTAATGCCTGTTGAGTAATGCATTCAGGGGAAGCTGAGCTTTGTTTTTGACACATGGAAAAGCCAGGGACCCCATGTTGAAACACGGGGCGGAAGATGGCCCTCGAGGCCGACCTGGGGTCAATTCTACGAGATCCCCCCTAATGGCTAAAGGCTAGAAAACTGGTCAAACAAACTGACGTCTTAGAAGAACTTTGAAACTAACTTAAACATGCAACAGCTGGTTAAAACGTCTTCTCTCGAGGCGTCCTGGTGGTCGAGTGGTTGAGTTGAATACCATGTAATTACTGTACAACGTTTGACCCATAAAGATGAAAATACCAAACAAATTAATCTTAAAGGATAACTACACCCGCACATTCTGCTTTATGGTCTGTTTGACTCTAAATGGACCATAATGTACTAAATGAACATCATGCTGTATTGAAGATGACTTGAAACTAGAGATTGAGACCATAAACTCATGTTTACAATGTTGACTGAGGTAATAAATCAAGAGAGAAGTAGAGTCATTTTCTCATAGACTTCTATACAACCAGAGGAGTCGCCCCCTGGTGGACACTAGAGAGAATGCAGCTTTAAGACACTTCAGTATTGGCCTCACTTGCTGTCAATATGTGCATTATTGGGGACATTTTCATGAATTAAAATCATACATCATTGCCAACATGATTCTATGTGATCATGTGAATATTACAAAAACACTATTTAGTGTGGACTTCCTCTTTAAAACTTCTTCTCCTCCAGCACAAATGGCACAGTAGGCTAAATACTTTGCGAACTGCATTGTCTAAACAACTGCACTAATTAACCAAAGCCTCTTAAGTCGTGCCGTTGCCCTATCATGTTTAAAATTTGACTTTGCAAATTGCAGAGAGATTTCCACAGGAAGGTTGCTCCCATTAAAAGTGCAATGTGAGCAGATGAATGGACTGCAGCGCTCAGCAGCACTGTAAATGTATTGATCCCGGCTTCCTGCAGCCTAGCGGGGATGCATTTGATCCGCAGGGTTGGAGACTTTATATTCACGGTGTGTGGTTGTGTGTGGTAATGAGGAACCTTTTAAGTGCAGCTTATTAGGAGTTAGTGCTGAAACAATCAGGCGCTGAATTGATTGGTTGATTGACAGAAACCATTTTGATTATTTTAACTCCTTAAGCAAGAACTATGGCAAACTTTCTCTGGTTCTAGCTTCTCAAATGTGAGGATTTGCTGCTTATCTCTTTTTTTAATATCATAAATGGAATTTATTTGGGTTTTGGACTGTTGTACGGACAAAACAAGACATCTGAAGAAGTCCTTTATTAAAATCTTCCTTTTAATATAGACATATAAACTGCTTCTGTTCACAGGCTTTGATGACATCCCCCCTGTAGCAGCCCAGGACCTCGTCAACATCTTGAAGCAAGGCCACCTGGAGAAGAAGCGAAGAGGTACAGCAGCATAAAGAGACCGGCTCCGGGTCAAATGGGTGGTTGATTTAAAAAATATATTAGAACAACTGTTGTTCATGTGAGTAATTGTATTCTGCAGATCACAGCTTCTTCGGCTCGGAGTGGCAAAAGAGATGGTGTGTTCTGAACAATTCAATATTCTACTACTTTGGGAGTGAAAAAGGTTTGTTTGAAAATGCCAACAAACAGAAACATCACAGGTTCATAAATTAAATCCGATAACATCCTCCCACTTGTGCTCTTCCCTACAGATAAGCAGCAGAAGGGTTCCTATTATATCATCGACTACAGCGTGCAGCTGGTGACCAACCTGAGAAAAGACTCCAAGAAAATGTCCTGTTTCGAGTTTTTTTGCCCCGGACGGCGATCTTTCCAGGTTTGTATTACAACAACAAGCCTGAATGCTAACTAAAAGTGTGCAATCCAAAGGAAAGGCATGCAGAAATGTCAATACATCAGCAGACTTCAGCTTCTGGAAGATGTTTTGGTATCCGTGTTTAGTTGTCCAGTAAGTAACAAGAACATGAATGAGGAAAAAGATTATTTTAAAGTAATTTAAAAACAGTCTTCATTACATAGTTGGTCCACTAGAGAGCACTGAGTTGGTTTTCTACTTTAAAATGTCGCGCTCAATTTAATGGCTCCTGATGAAACATATGTAGTGTGAGGGGCATTGTAGGTCAAACATAAATACATGTCAGGGAGAGGGGTAATATTCTGAGAAAGGGGGCGGAAAATTTGAATATTCTCTGAGATTAATGAATCGATCATCACAAAAATTAACCTGTTAATTAACCTATTTTGACAGTCGATTCATTTCCAAAAATTCAGTAGTTCAGACCTTTCAATTGTTGTCTGCTTCTGTACGTCCTCTATGATAGTAAACTAAATATCTTTGGACCAAATATATTTTAGCACGTCGCCTTCGGCTGCAGGAAATTGTGGTAACAATTTTTCATTGGTCTGTAAAATGTCAGAAAACAAACAAGAAAATAATCACCAGATTAAACAATAATTTAAATAATAGTGACTGAGTTTAAATGAATAAATATTGGTTATCTAACACTCAAATATTTGCATTGGCTTCAAAGATGCAGTATCAGTCGAGCTTTAATCTAAATCGTATCCACATGTCTATACGGCACATTAGTTATACTGTCGATTATAACACCGTTATGTCTTAATTGAATATTTTAGATCTGATCATTTTATAGCTACATCAAGAGGGAGCATTTGTATTTGCTCTTTTTCTTGCTTGTTAGGCAGCGAGGAGGAGAGTCGGTGTGCTGAAGTGAAGATTAAAAATCAGGACTTTTATTTCCATATAAATGCACATTTAGATGTGATGATAATTGCGTGATTATTGCCACTGTTTCCCATTAGTTCACTGCCAACAGTCCTCAAGAGGCCAGAGAATGGGTGGACCAAATCAATTTTGTACTTAGAGGTAAGCCAGCATCTCTTTCTAATCTCTTCCGGTATTTATTGCAGAGCGTTCTCTGCTTCATTGCTTCTCCTAAAGTTGCCTTTCTGCGTGTCCTCATTTGAAGCAAGAGTTTAAGGTTCGAGGATGTCACGTGTTGTTCTGATTCTTAGACATATTGATATTGGGTTATATAAATAAAAATTGACTTGCGTTGACTTTTTAAAAGCCACATAGGTTAATTGGAAAATACAGTTAAAGCAGTTCAAACCGTCCAAACCTCTTCTTTTCTACATTTTCCACTAAAGTTCTCTCGTGTGTTTTTCGAGGGGCAGAAAGGTCAGAAATGAAAGGGAGCCCTTCATCATCTCTGACTCAGATAAAAAACAACCCGATCCATCACACGCTGCACAGCCGAGTCCTGAATCTCCTCATTCGACATGTCATGTGCACCCCCCCCAGCCACTCCTCCCCTAACCCTCCTACCGAATTCCAACTTACAGGAAATTGATTGGTAGATGTTCTGGTTATCCTCCAGTGACATTGATTTCTGCTCGGCCGCTGGTGTACGGCGGAGGACCCGATACCCTGTGTTAGAGCTGCCAGTCGCCTGCAATGAGACGGCTCCTCCATCTGAGCGAGCAGTCCTGCCTCGTCTCCTCTAAAATGGGCTCAGGCCGGGCCACTGATTTGCGGGAAGTAACAGACACTCTGCAGTTTGTCTTACTTCCTTCCAGACGAGTTTTACTACGAAGTACAGTCCTGATTCAGAACATGTAGATGATTCTTATTCACCCTCTTCACCCCCTGAACAACGCTGAGAACAACGCTGACCTGTACTTTCAACATGTACTCTCATTTTGTGGTCGCTCCTCCAAGAACTTTGTGGGAATATTATTCTTGGCATTTTGCCTTTATTTACTACTGATAGTGGAGATACAGATGGCGTGTGCATGGAGAGAGAAACGGCTTTGACATGCAGCAAAAGACGCGATTAATAACTAGGACCATGGACAACCCAATATTCAGATAAACAGAAGATAAAGAGGAAACATGGGGAGGCATTTTTAGGTATAAAAAGTAACTTTTCTGCATTCAAATGTCTTAAAACAACTAGACCTACATTATATAGTTTGTTTAGTTGTTAACTTATGTTATTGCAAGTATTTCCAACAATATTCAAACCGGAGAAAAGTGTAATTTTAATCAAGTTAACGGCCCTTTTTTATTTGGCCGCCTGTCAGTGGCGTCATATCTCCTTTGTTCATGCGTCAGTCTATCAAAATAAGCCATTATTTTGATAGACGTTTTAGATCTAGGTGGTTTTTAACTCTATGTTTTAAGCTGGATGAAGGATTTTATCCGTCAGACTTCTTGATCTTGAGTGATCAGCGGAAGCGCATTTGTTTTCTGACATTTTATAGACCAATGATAAATCGTAGCAGCTCAAGTTGACGTGCTAAAATATGATTTTAACGTGAAACTGCTTTATTCACTGTTTTTACTGGTTTAATCACAGGGTCCATTTGTTTTGTAGAGTAAGAGACCTCTACGGATAATTCTGCTCCCTGTAAAAAGGTCCTGAACCATAAACTAAGAAGGAATCATATTCTGGAGAACATGATGTAAAATGGTGGCGTTTTAACTGTTAGTCAGACAAAACAAGGAGTCTGAAGACGTCACTATCGGCTCTGGGAAATAATAAATGGCCGTTTTTCCACTATTTCAGACTTTGATTGCTTAGTCAAAAGAAAGATAAACATATGAATAGATGATGAAGATAATCTATAATTGCAGGCAGAATTCAAGCCTCCAGCTTGTCATTGCTGCTCTGCGGCACGTGTCCTCGCCTGTTGTGCAGTCAGGACCCTTTGAGCATTCCTCTCACTTTACCCTTTGATGTATGTGTGTGTCTTTTGTGCCACGCTGTGCTCCATCTTCACGCTAACGCCGCTCCTTCCCTCCATAGATATCCGCTCCACCTCCATCCCTTGCGACGATGACGAGCAGGAGGAGGAAGAGGAGACCTATGATGACATTGAGGGGTTGACTAGCCCTCCCTCGTCGCGGCCCGCCGCTGCCCAGGCCTTTCAGAGCGGCAAACTGGGAGGGGGGCACGAGACGGGGGAGGTCTACGAAGAGGACGACGACATCTACGAGGTGCTGCCAGGTATGAGGACGTGGTTACACACACACACACACACACACACAGATAAATAGACAGGAGTTCTGCACACACAAACTCTCATGATACTCAGTCAGACAAATAAACACACACTCGAGAGCCCTGAGGGATTTTTGCAACAAGAAATATTTGTGATGATCTCCCCTGGCTGTGAAATCTGTGTTGCCAGGTACCTCCCTACCAGTGCAACACCCAGACCGATTGCTCATTTTAAATCAAGCAACACTAATAAGCTTGTCGGGGCCGAGGTGGCTGCTGCAGAGGCACACGGGGCAGGAAGGGAAGACTCTCCTTACACTAGAAACCAGCTTCCTCCTTATCTCACCGAGAGCCATCTGTTGAGAAACAGTTATGTTGTTGAAATCAGCGAGAGCCGGTTGTTCCGAATGCTCCGTCATAGAACGTCCAATTAGCTAATGTTGCCAGGCAACAAATAGCCCACAATTCAATCCGCTAAGCAGAGTTTGGGGCTAAAATTGCCTGGCAACAGCAATTTAGTTGAAAGGAAGCAAAAAAAAACGGCATCTCGCAGGGCTTAAAATAGTTCTGGAGCTCTTAATGTCACATCTTGAATAGAAATTAGAGTTTGATTGAGAATGTTGGGAGTCAGTGTGTCAGTCTCTCTACTGGAGGGGGGCAGCCCCATGTGTCAGGGTGGCTACTGGATCCAGAGAAGGGGTGATCTGATCTTCTCAGGGCCGTCGTCCATCACTCTTTCTATTAAATAACATACATCAAGATTCTGTTTCACTCACTGAGTACATTACCTTTGGCCAAAATCACTGGCGAGAGGGAAATCAGTCTTCAGACTGTCACGCCGGCGTTCACAGCCATCTGGGAAGAGGTACAGACTCTGACCACAGATGGCATATCGAATGACGGGCTCTTTCGTTCACTTTCTCACCCCTTCACTTATCAATCACCCAGCTCCTCTCTTTGCTCACTTGCAGCTCTTACACAGTGATTCGATACTGTTAAATTATTCGATTTTATGGTTAATGTTTGTATTTGAACAATCTTCCTTTCTTAACAAATAGAAGTATTCCTGGGTAGTAGTCTTTTGTTAGTTTGTCAGACTTTACTTCCTTCATTGCTCATACGAACGTTGCAAAAGTTGTTCAAGTTTTCTTTGGATTCCTAAAGTTGTTAAAGGGAAAATTCAGCAGATTTTAAACCAGCTTTGTATCGCTGCATTCTGAGTTGTATGTGCAAATGAACCGTGTTCGGTTTCCTTCCGTGAAGCCAAACATCATTAATTTTCACATTGCAAAGATACAAAGATTCCCTAAAACATTAAATGTCTGGAAAATATCAAGAATTTGAAAAATTGCACATCAGATACATTTTAAATGTCGAGTATGAGTGAAGCATCCTTATCCTTGTGATGAGCTCTCTCTGTTTTGCCGGAGCAAAACTCCCAACATGGCTCAGTTGCAGGCAGAATGCAGAGCGACGGTGGTGTCGGCTCTGATGCTGATGACTGATTTTATTGAGTGGAAAATTAAATCACATTGATATAGAAACCGTTGGCCCATAGCGGCGGCCTCTCCACTGAAGGATGCTCTCATGTGCTGCAGTCAAGGAGTGCTGAACAAATGTTTGGACCCTTTGCAAGCAGAATCAAAATCAACCTTCTTTTTGGTGTCGTAACAATGCACGACATTTTAATATTTTATTAGGTAAGCCATAACGTTGAGATTTATGATTTCTTTTGCATTAATATATTTGTTTTATTCATGAAATGTGCAACAACCTGAAAGAAAAGCAGCAGAAAGAGATCGCTCTAACATTTACACATAAGAAACGCATCCAAACTGTACACATAACCACGAATATGCATGTGAATATACAGTATGCGCGTGTGTGTGTGTGTGTGTGTGTGTGTGTGTGTGTGTGCGCGTCCTCCGTCCTGGTCTTCCTGGAAGCAGAGGCGCAGGTTGTGCTGGAAAGTGGATAGTGTTGCTGGGTTGTGGCATGGTTGTCAGCCTGCTGCTGTTGAGGATGGATGTGTGAGACAGAGGGCGTATCACTGTGTCACCTCTCAGACCACCGGGGGCCACGCCCCACAGTCAATGGCACGTCCGCCTCCGCGAGCCTCAAAGACTCTTCTTTTTTCTTTAACTTTTCTCTGATGAATGTGAACAAATTGATCCTCACCGAGGAGTTCAGTCTGGTTAAAGACAAACAGACGTCTTTTATCTTGTGGAAACACGTTAGGCACTGGCTGATGATCCGTTTTATTTATTTTTCTATGTTTTGTTTTATCATGATGCTTTTTTTTACCCCACATTAGTCCTTAATGTGTGAAACAGAAAGAAACCCTCTGCTTTTCTTCAGCAGCAGGTTATGTTTCTTGTCGTTATTTTTGATTTTCCCGTTAGATAATGAAATTAAAATGTTTGGGACTTAATATCTATTTATAATGTTCGGTCACAAAACTCATTTTGTTCTGTTTGCTGTGCTTTTTTTTTACTTAGAGGAGGATTTTCCAGATCCGACAGATGAGAGCAGTGAAAAGAGCAACAAACCAGGTCAGAACCTCATTACAGTCCGCCAATAATGAGGGAAACCTCCAGCTTAATAGTTCGCTGTGGGAAAAGAACCTCGTCTCGCTCTTTTACTTAAATCTGTGTTCTGCATTTCCCATTTCAGCTTGGTCATCAGATTACGCTAACTTCTACCAGGGTTTATGGGATTGCCAGCCCGACGAGCCGGACGAGCTGCCCTTCCAGCGAGGAGATCTCATCTGCATCATTAGCAAGGTCAGCAAAAAATAATAATCCAAAAGGTTTTTTTTAAAGTTCTCCCAGAATTCTGTGTTGGACAAACTTTCAGTTGAAACGGGAGACCGCCGGTCACCTCTAATGGGAACCATTCCTGATTGCACCCTTGACTCAGAGACATAATTACAAGATAAGTTAAAGTAGTTTGAAATGTGATGCAAATGTGTAGAATATGTAATTATTTGAGGGTTAAACAACATCAATGCCAGTAATCACTTTGCCCCTCGTTTACTCTCCCAACATGCTGATATCCTCAACGTCTAAACCCTTCTGTTAGTGAGCGCCCGTGACTCGATGCAGCAGCGAAGCACCAACAGCGGCATTGTCTCTTCCCAGGCCACTAGGGTGAAGTGCCGTTCGGGCGCTGCGTAATGGTGCTGTTGTTCATTACGGAGCCTCTATCACAGGGGTTAATTGAGTAGGCAGCCATGCGAAGCCCTTCCTTTCTGTTTGACGTAAACTGCAGGTGAAGCCATCCTGCATCTCAGCTCTTTTCCCCGCTCTATCTATTTCCTCATGCTTTATGGCCGTCTTGTAGTTACATGCAGAGTCTCTACCAGTGAAAAGCCGCCCTATACTGGAAATCAATCGCTTGTAATTTGGGCACTTTTGCTCTGCTGCGCGCAGGGACTTGTCTCCCCAGACTGTTTCTATTGGTCGGTTTGAGATTGAATCATCATGTTCTGTGTTTAGGCTAAATTATCTGAAGAGTGGAGGGAGGAAGAATTTACAGTGTATTCTGCTTTTTTTTGTGTTGGTAATTATGCAGTGGAGATTGAGAAATGATGTATTCAACCTCATCTTTAATCAGCAGCTGCAGCCCCTGAATTTTAATTATTTGTGATGTTTTCCAGTTTTAGTGCAGAAAACAATAATGTTCTGACTTTTTATCGTACATTAAAGGAGTTTAAGATAGATAAACACACGGTATCGGTTCATGTGGAAGGATATACAGCTCTTTTGTTTGTAAGAGCAGATATGGCACAGGTGAAATATGCTCTTCACACAAGATGGACTTTTAATTGAGGCTCTCTTGGCAGTGCCAGATTAATGAGATGCCAGCCTTCGCTGTCTGTGCGTGCTGGTTGATAGGGGGAAATGTCAAAACAGCCATGTCCATTTTTCACGTAAGGATGACAAAGGCAGCGTTCTTGGGGAAACAAAGGGGAGCTGGCTCTGCACTGCTGATCCGCCTCAGACAGCCTCAGCCCTGCCTGTATTACTTTTCACTGTATGGATCACATTACTGCTTCTCCGAAGACCTTAAAAGCCAACTAAGTTCCAGGTTGTAAGCACGACTAGGTCGTAGTATCTCCCGATCTTAATGACACAGATTACTCTTGTTTTGTTGAGCCGTACGCTGAAGTCATAACATAGTGACGGACTACGAGAGAGTATTCTAGCTTTTCCTCTAATGGATTTAAAGCCAAGGTCTGCTTGTAAATTATTCAGAGGTGATCTCCGGACGGCTTCCGACTCTTTGGTTTGGTGTGACGACGTGACTCTGTCCGCGTCCCATTTTGTCGTCCTAAAAGTGTCACATTTCCCCCCCATGAATAGCATTATTTGGATTATAGCCTGTAATCGGCTATTTGTTTTAATGAGCCCTTGGGGAGGGCTTCCCCGCGTCTCCTGTGTGTACACTCACGCCCCTGCCCGCGTTCGGGTTTTTTTTTACGGGTGGGGATTCCTGAGAACCCTGACCTCGATGAGTGAAATACGGGCCCTTGGCTAGAACTCAAGTCTGTCGCTTAACTGGGGACCTAGACACATGAAATGGCCGTAATAAAACCAGGGCCCATAAATTCTCTTAGAGGGTGGGAGGCCTGGTTGTCTGTGCTGTTATGTCAACACTGACCATAATTACAAGGTAATAAGGACACGCTCTAAGTGCTAAATCAATGGTGCTAACAAACTGTTATTTTTAAAGCTGGGATGTGATTGACTGCTGAAGTGCAGAATGGGATAGCCACAGGCGCGGTGTCATATGGCTGTGAACTGAGGAGAACATGCCGATTGTATAAAAGGCCCTCATCCATCATTATTGATCTCTCACTTACTGTAAAGTGGGGGCATTTTTACTGTATTTGTGTTATTTTCCCCCTTGTGTGTTGCTCTGTGTGCGCATATCTGTGTGTCCCTGACAAAGTAAATAAATTAGGAACCTCACAACTCATATGAATCCCATTAGTTCAAGAGAATTAATCTCATAGAGAGCCTCCGCCGCCGGTTCCAGCGATGCCTAACTTGCTTTCCGCAGAGCTCGACGGCGATGCTCAGCGCGCTGATACATGAGGTACGAACACACAGTTAAATCCATCTTGTGAGTTTTGCTCTGGCATTTCATTTCTGAGAGCTTGCATTTTTCTAATGCGCATTATAGCTTACACGCTGACGTTTTAGTGTGTGATGACAAACACTGGCGAGCTCAGTTTTCTGCCACATCACACTCTGAGATTTGTTTCTTAACTCGATTTAAATTGTTGAGGTGTTTCGCTCACATTTCCACTGCATCGTGACATGCAACAAGATACCTGTTGCAGGATTTACAACGTGAACGTGGGATCAATTTATCACGGCGGCATGAAGCCGTTGTTTCACTTCTCCCTGACACGCGTAGTGCCTGTGTACTTAGTCGGCCATGTTCCACACTGAACCATAAGGTTGTCTTGCATTCTTGCCCTCTAATTTATGTGTCCAGAATCAAAAGACATGGGCTCTACAGGTCAGCTGTCACATTCCTGTATTCCCACAGGCACTCATGGAGAACGGCGGGGATGGAGTGGGAAGAGATTTATGGCACAAACCCATCCAGGGTCCTTAAAACTCTGGCAAGCGCTGCTGCCACCTCTTCCTCTTTCTCTCCATCGCCCCGCTCACCTCTCCCCTCCTTCCCACCCTCCGTCCAACCGAAACGCAGAGAGAGGGAGACGAGCTAGCCAATCACGTGCGTCCCCCAAAGCCCAACGTCACGCATCACATTTGGCCAAAGTGTTTCAGCTGCAGCTGCTTGTCAGGGACGAGGAGAGCGTGGACACCACTGACACCTTGTGGCCGTTTCTATCAGTGTTTTTATTATATGACAACTTCTACAAACACCACAAGCTGATTTACAGCCTTATAGATTTACTTGCTGTGATTTATAGCCTCTTATAAATACAAGTTGTGATGTTGAAGTTTGAAATAGGAGATTCTGAAACTCATTGTGTTTCAATGGCCACTGGTTTTCTGTCCGGGCTACATGTGACAGTCCTCTTTAGGGTCATAACAGGCTTCTTCTCTGTTTAACAAGCCCATTTCGGGCCGCTGCCCACAGGTCACACCGACTGAATACAGACGAAGAAAAGAAAAAGTAAGCAAACAATCAGATGGGAAAAGTCAAGCAAGAGAGACAAAGAGGGTGGATCCTTTTATTCTTTTGTGTGAACCCTGCCCCCCCCCCCCCCCCCTCTCCTTTCTCCTTTTCTCTGTCACACACCCATTTAAAGACCCCTGGCTGCTATTGTGGCCATAGACACCAAGACGCTATAGACAGGCAAGACATCCTATTTACCACCCAAAGTAGCAGGGGGTGAGTCTGGGGTTTGGGGTCATGCAGGAGGCAGCGGTCAACTCCCGGTCAACTACAGTAGGTCATTATTCAGCCCAAGCCAATAGCCCAGAACCGCGTCCGAGCAACCCACCCCCAATCCATTCTGCCTAATTATTATAAATGAGGGGCGGCGTAAACAGCCATCATTACAGACACTCAGTGGCATACACAAATCCACTTTAAATTGCTATTAAGTTAAGGAGCTATCTGTAATCCCAGGCGTGCATTAGAAAGGAGCGAGTAGGTTTTCTTTTTATTAAATCTCATCGTCCCTGAGATATTTTCAAACGTTCTCATGCTCTGTCATGTTTCCAATTTGAAGCCAATTCTCTGATTTAATTAAAAGCCCACTTGGAAAAAAATGGACACTAAGTAGCCATTTCGATCTCTGGTTGTGCAGAATTATCGTCCATATTTCTGGATGGATTTCGACAAGATTACTTTTGGCACGGAGTCCTTGTAACGGCCCCAAAATAAGCATTTTTTCCCCACAGTTTCTTGTCTTATCTGGTCGATTGTTAGGTGTTACCTGTGTGAGCGAGGAGGAGAGCTCGCTAACCTAATAGCGGGTTACAGATCTGTGTTAGAGGTGTCCATGTTTCTTTGTTACAGTGACCAGTGATGGAAGAACTGCAGAGAGCTGCAGTGTATCAGACGAGTCTGAGAAAAAAACAAGAGAGAGGATGCAAGTGAAAAGGCTGCTACAGGGGAGATGGAAAGAGAGGAAGGGGAGGAAAGGAGGGAGGATGGGGGGGAAAGGAGGGAGGGAGAGATTGTAACACCCAGGCGGCGGGTTCAGCGGCAGGGCAATGAGAGACTTCCTGCGCTCCATCACGCCCAAGGCCTGCCTCAGTCAGCTGGTGGCCGAGGAAAGATGCCTCATGTGTCAGGCTTATTAGCACTCCCCCTAGTTTGTATGCATTTGGGATTGTGTGTGTGTGTGTGTGTGTGTGTGTGTGTGTGTGTGTGTGTGTGTGTGTGTGTGTGTGTGTGTGTGTCATTTGTGTGAGAGAACAGGATGAGGAGGGAAAAGAGGGAAAGAAGAGGACATCTGTCGAATATTTTACATTTTCTCCCCAAAAACCGGTGCATTTTATTTTCAGATTTTCTTTAAAGATTGTGTTTTCTTTCGGTACACGATGGGGGTGATGGCGTCCCCCGCCACGCCACCCCCGTTGTCTTTTTCGCCGCATCCACCCCAACCCTCGACTCACCTTCTCCCCGCTCCAGGCTCGGGGTATGGCTGTCAATCCGTCCTCCGGTTTTCGGGAGCGTGAGCGATGGGCCTATCAGAATGCCACCATTAGCCAGCCCCCCCCCCCCCCCCCCTGAGTGGTAAATAAACGATCGCGCCGGTACACTGCAGGTGTTGTCATGGCAACCCACTCTCAGCACCAGCCCCGCCCACGCTCATCCACCCCCCCACCCCTCCTTTGCTCTCGGCGGAGGAGTCACCGGGAGGTCAACGAGTCAACGCGCCGCAGCCGCCACGACACGGCGCTGTTTGGCAACACACACACACACACACACCCTCACACACACAAACACACCCTCACACGCACACAAACACCCTCACACACACACATACACCCTCACACACACACACACACACACCCTCACACAGTGGGTCTGATCTGCATCCAGGTTGCAGATATGTGTCACCTCTCAGACGACACCCTGGGCATCGTGCTACATCTTGTTAATGAGATGAAAACCAGACGTCTCCCAGAACTCTCGGGGACGCTGGATGTTCATCACACGAGCCCGTTCTTTGCCCCCGACGTTGGCATTTCATAGCTTATGATGCAAAATCACACAAAAAACAAATCAACCTAAGAGAGGAGAACAAACAGAAGGAAGAGGACATTGAGGAGTTTGCATAGTTTTTGTCATTTGGATAATTTAGTCTGCGCGCCTCGTGGAATGTCCCTATTACAGCAGGTGTACTCTGGATGAACCCATTTCAAGTATGAGGAAGATGGACTCTGCACGCCTGACAGACTTCCACCGCCATTGGCACCCACTCTGTGATGTAGCAGTTGTATTAAAATGGCGGCGCTGATAATCCAAAAGACCTTTCTCAGGGAGAATTTGAGACCGACTGCACAGATGGGCCACGGAGATAAATAAAACTCTCTGTCACTATGGTTGGTGGAATAGTGCTGCGACGCCCCCAAGGGAGAGAAAAACTGTTTCGCTCCCTCTCTCTGCGATGCCTCCCCTCCCGTCCGTCTGTCTGCCCCCCCCCCCCCCTCCTCCTCTGTTCACGTTATCACGAATGGGAACCAAAGCCAGCTTTCCGCAACCGGGCTTTTCCCTCCTCTACGGTCTTATGGGGGGCATAAAAAAGACCATTTCGGACTTAACTTTCTCCTGCTTTATGAGCTCAAACACACACTGAATAGTCAGTCAGAGCCAAGCACACTGGAGCGTCCCACCGTGAGCTGTCAGCCAGGTTCCGTGGGTTAAAACGATGAGGCCTGGATGGACAATCTGCTCGTTGTGGGTACCTGTTTGTGCTGTAAGAACACTTGAGTCTTGCGGTTTTATCACTTTCCTTGAGCGATCCATTCATCGCCGCTGTCCAAACACTTCTCATTAGCTGCAGGCCTCATTCCTCTGGATGGAGGGAGGCTCAACCTTTGACAAAACGCTGCCCATCATGTCACAGAATGTGTGTGTTTTCACATCTAAAATACCTGTTAAAGCTAGAAGTCTGATTCCAATCTCAAGACATGTAGAACGTATACGTACGTGTTGCTGCTCGCACACACGCGCAGCACGTAGCGTGTGTGTGTGTGTGTGTGTGTGTGTGTGTGTGTGTGAGAGAGAGAGATAGACGAGCGGTTCATCTTCTCCTCAGGGCCGAGACAAACTGTTCACGCAGCCATTCCCAATCTGCTGGAGAACAGAGGAGAGAGATGAGTTCAGCTGGTGCCTCCTGTGCTCCCACTGCTGGGCCTCAGCGCCCCTCTGGTCTCTGGCCAAATATTGATCCAGTACAGATCTGGTTAGAGCTCAACTGCTGCGATCGGATGATCACGTTGTTGTTGATGCGACTCCAGTTCCTAAAACGCTTAAAGCACTTTGAATGAGACTGAATGAAAGATTTTGTTATCTCAGTTTTACGTAAAATATCTGCTTGTTTTGGATTCTTTATGAGCCGTAATTGTAGAATATTTTCTCTTTCAATTAATGTCTTGATTATTTAACCTAATAACCACATAATTGTGTATTCGGAGTGTATTATTTTATGTGACATGGATTTGATTGTGATTCCTTCGCTGATGATCACATGCAACATAAAATCTCACCCACAATTTAATTCAATATATTTCGATACTTCCAAAAGGTATATGACAAATGTAAATTCAGCCAACAATAATGAAACGTTACATTAAGCATCTAATTAAAAGAGTGATATTTATATACAAGGTTACATTTTTTAATTCAGTGTCTCCAAATTATATTTTCAACATCTTCGTGTCGGACTTTCCTGCTACTTAAATCACAAATTAGTTTTTATTCAGTCAGTTAACACCAGGACTTTTATTGTGTTTTCCTTCTTGTATTTCTACATTAACAGAAGTCGAAGTGTTAGGTTTTAAATAGAAATATATTATTTTATTTCCTCATTTAATTAATCTATACAGAGAACACTTTATTTTTAGCTTTCGGTCTATCGGGACCTTCATCAGAGCATTCCTGGTTCCTAATTTAATTTATTAAAACTATTTAAATTGGTGCATCATGCTTTATTGTTGTTGTTTTATGCCCTTTACATTTAGTCTAGAAAATGTCCAAAATTATTGCAAATGCCCACCAGGAGTTACAAAGAAACTAAAATGATTTGCTGAAGCTGCTTATTTTATTTTATGCTCTAAATATTTTTTTCTTTAGATAAAAGTGAGAAACAAGATTTTATTAACTTCATTGAGGCCTTTTTTTTTTTTTTTTAAGTAACTGAGCATTTAATCTTAGTTTCCTGTTTTCTTTTTAATCACAGTGCAGAAATGAACTCTTGTTATAATTAGTCTGATCACACTGCTGTCGTGGCTCTTGAGCGGTAAAACACAAACAACCCTGTTTTATTTTAGACGTTGTCTCAATAGTCTTGTTTACTTTCTTCTCCCGTCTTTGAATGAAAACCCTGGAGGTAAAAGCACCCCGGTGTCTCTTAGAATGCTGGTGGTGGGATCCGGTCCCTCCAGGATTTCCTTTGTTAAAGTTGAGTTTATACAGTTTTTAACCATATTATTTTAGCAGCCACTGTAATTGCAGTTCAAATCATTCGAATGGTCGCTCTAATGTTAATAACACGAGACAAACAGGGCACTCGGATCAAATAGAAAGGTGAGATCGGCGCTCCATCCTGCTTGGTTTACTTGTCCCCTCGGAGACTCACCGTTGTTTTATTTCTTCATTTTGGGTTCCAGGAGTACAACATTCACGGCTGGTGGGTCGGCGAGCTGAACGGCACCGTGGGCATCGTCCCCAAGGACTTCATGCACCCGGCTTACATCCTGTGAGCTCCAACAGGTACCGAGGCACTCTCTTATCATCAGCATTATGGACCATTACTGTGGCCTAATACACAGAAATGGTCCCCCTGGTACCCCTCCAGACTGCCATTGAGCTGTATTCAGTCGTTGACCTGCCATTTATGGCATCTGCTGGCTGGAAGAAGTACTGCGTAGAGCAATCTAAAGCGGGGCAACGGGTGACAATAAATATGTGCAACAAAAGCATGATTACAGCATCAGTTGTCCTATTTAAGAAAATGATTCCCTAATACTGTTAGATAGGCGCAGCTTAGAATGAACACTGAATTATTAATGTTTCTCTGATGCTGTGTTTTTTTTTCACAGCGCTGCTGCCAACGCGTCCGGCCATGAATCTCACAGATAATGTTTTGTAATTTGAAAATGATTCTCCTTCATAAGACTGTAAGTTGTATCATGTAGGCCTAAATCAGCGGTGCTTATTCCTGTCCACTATTACCCACATGTAAAACCTTTAAAACCTTTAATATTACTGTGCAAACCACAGCGGAAGCAGATTAATCAGTTAGTCTACCGACAGAAGATAAGATCCATTTTAATAATTGTCATTGTATCAAGAAAAGCCTCTCACATGTGAGGATTGTCTTCTGTTCTGTTTTATATTGTTATAAATTGAACATATTTGTGTTTTTGACTTAGACGTTATTGGGCTTCTGGTAGATTGTGACGGGACTTTTTTCAGACTTTTTAGATTTTTCACAGACTAACATATTAACTGATTAATCAGAAAAACAACAGAATACTCAATCATGGAAATAACATAATGTTATCTGCAGCTCTAGTGCAAATTATTTCATTATTATGGACCGGTACATTTATCAATTCACTGGTTAAAATGAGAAATAAGAAGATTGTTTGTCACTTTTTTCTTGTTTCATCACTGAAATACATTTTTTTTTAAACAGCAGATGTACATTATGCAGAATGTTTTTAACTACATTGTAAGTGGATTTTTTTTTCAGAGATTTGAACAGCATTTACTGCTTGTGTGTGATTTGTCTGTGTGGGGTCATTAAACAGTTTCATCTTCAGCCACTAGGCGGCAGGATTGCACAAATCTCTTAAAACCATGAGATGTGTTTGATAAGAGGAATATAATAAAATCAGTTTTACAGGAAGAAAGTAACACCCAGTCTTCTATTATCCACCGAGTACACGACTCGTGATGAGGCTCATTTCTGTGTGCAACAGGACAATAAACCAATAAACCGGCTCCCTTTAATAAAAGCAACATTTATTTGAATTTGAACAGGAGTAGTGTGAAAACAATGTGGAGATCAAACTAACGTGAATTAAGTCTGTTTTCATAAAAAGATCACCTTGAAGAGATAGTTTGGATTTTTGAAGTGCGGTTTTATGACATACTCTTGTTTTAAAGGGTGCTTCTGATTGAGTCACATAAAAACTGACTGATAGATGCAGCGGTGGATCAGCAACTCACATGTTCTGTTTTTGTGAAAGTCGAGTCTCGTGGCTTTGAAGAGAACATAGATAAAAACTTCAATTCAACAGAAAGCTGTTTTACAGCAAAGTAAAAAAGTGAAAATATTCCACATATAGCATCCACTTAAACTGATGTTAGCTGGTTTCTCCAAACTCAAGCTACTGTAGATAATAATTCACTGACTTATGAATAAGTCCTTCATATAAACACTTCAAAACAACATCCCTTAAAGCAGTTCTTGTTAGTTTGAGTAGAGGCAGTATTACAGTGAACTAAACATGTAAACCTCCGCTGATAGTCCGTGTATTTAAACCACGGTCCAGTTAAAGAGCAGAGCAATACAAGAATGCACATTTATTATTATCAAGATCACGAGACTGAAAAGGTGTCGCTGTCTATTGCAATTACTTTTAATTTAATTAACATAACCAATTATTTTCCTTTAATAATAAATATCAGGTGAACACTGCTGCCTATGAAACATCATTTTAGAACAATTCCCTCAATCCAAACCAGTTTAATGTTTAACCAAAGCATCCTGAGTGACTTGTGTGTACTTGGATCATCATCAGGACTCCATAGAACACAGTGGTTAACTTAAAACAGTGGTTTTATGAGCTTCACATTAAGTGAGTGACTCTACAGAAGGATTCAGACTGTTGTTGGTCGACATGATTGTTTCTCTCGTCCAAACCGTCCTCAAAGTTTCACTACAGTTACTGTGAGGCTTCAGCAGTCTGAGTGAGACAAATTAACTGGATGAAGTTTGTGTTTTACTGTCCCTCCTCTGCAACTCTGCACGTAAACGCAGATAGAAATAGATTTTAGATTTGACTTGTCTCACTCAAGGACAAGGAACAACTACAGCAACCAAACGCTCTTTAAAGTCCAAACGGAGTTAATACAGACTTTAAAAGCAAAACATGTGGATCTCTCCTTTAATTCAAGTGTATATTTCTGTCACAAAGTTCCCTACAACATTAAAGTAAAAATTAAATCACATTGTATGTTCACACAACAATAAAACCTTTAGATCTTTATGGATTAAAAACAACAAAATAAAACCCGAAGCTGCTTTTGTGAACTAGAGCGCCCTCTGCTGGTTCCAGTCATCCACCACAGAGTGTTCAGTTTACCTGAGTGTTATTGGAGATGCACATTTTAAATTAAATATACATTATTTTAAAACAAAAGAAGCTCGACTGACAACACGTGTGACAGACCGGATCATCTACATTTCAACGACGGAACAGAACGAGCACATTTTTATGTACTTCCTTGTTTACGTGCATGTGATCGAATGCGTCTTTGGCAGACAGCAACTCCCACAATCCTTCGCTGTGGCTCTGTGTCTTAACTAATGCTGCTGCTCTCTATGATGCTGAAGTCACTATTTTCGGTTAAATCTCCAGTTACAGTCAAGTTCAAATCCAGAGATTTCCTGGAGTCACTGATGTCGGTTATGTGTTGCTGGTCCTCGTCCTCGTGGACAGAAATGTCGTCTTTTTCCACAGAGTGTCCGTTCGAGTGTAGGTCCAAAATGTTCCTGCTGGAGGCCTCTACTGGAGACCAGTGGACCTCCTCAGAAGGCATCTCCACGTAGCCGTTGGCGGCCTGGATCGAGTCCTCGGCGTCGTCGCAAAGGCTTTCTTCATCGCTGACCTGGACGATACTGTCGTTCGAAGACGAGCGTCCGTCCTCGTCGCTGTCGCCTGTGATCCGAACCAGATCCACTTGTTGAACGAGGTCGTCATCGCCGCTGCCTTCCTCCTCTGGGACACTGAGCACATCGCGAGTCTCTTCGTGGATTTCCGACTGAAGCGGCGTCTCCGCTTTGCTCTCGGATTCCTCTTCTTTTTCGTTGTCTGGCTCTTTCTGTCCGTCCGAGTTCTTAAACTCCTCCGGAGAGCTGGCGTCTTCCTCGTGAACCTCCGTGCCGTCGACGTGGTCGAGACCTTTATCTTCAGAGATGTCGTGAGTTTCTACAACCTGCTGCTCAGAGCAGACGGCTTCCAGAACTTCCTCCTGAGATCCGGCGTCGCTTTCTGTTCCCTGTTCCTCAAAGCCACCGTCCTTAAAATCTAAAATTGCTGCAGAGTTCGCACATTTTTCTGGCTCAGATTCGACATTTTCCTTCTTTGCTTCTCCAGAACTTTCCCATTGATCCGCCTTCTCCTCCTCTGGATGAGGACTATCTCCAGAACTTTCCCATTGATCCGCCTTCTCCTCCTCTGGATGAGGACCATCTCCAGAACTTTCCCATTGATCCGCCTTCTCCTCCTCTGGATGAGGACCAGTCTTTTCTGCTCTATCTGACAACGTAACGCTCTCCTCTCTTACCGAACACTCCTTCTCAAAGCCAGCCCCCATGGGTGAGTGCACCTCCACAGGAGTCTGTATCTGCACCCGACAGCTCTTCTGCTGGATCAGTTCTGGAAGGCCGAGACTCTCAGGAGCAACCTGGCCGTCACCCAGGAAAAAGGTTGCCTCTGTCGGACCACAGTCCTCAACAACGGCCTCCAGGTGGTCGTTCTTCTGGATGACCCTGACTGAGGATTCCTCCTCGTGCTGAAGCTCAACTGTGTCTTCGTCACAGATCTCCAGTAAGTCTTCAGGAGGATTAGAGTCATCGCAGAACAAGAGCTCCGGGCTGAAGATCTCTTTAGGTTGACGAGGAGCTGGGCTGTGGAGTGAGGAAGAGAAAAAACATTTACTTTAACGACTCTGCAGCACATTTTTTATCTTTGCAATAGCAGACACAGCCTGAATATCCTTAAATAAACAGAAGGGACAAAGCGAAGGAAACTGGTTATTTCCACACCATTCGGTCGACAGTTTGAATCCCTCTTACCTCTCCATGGACTCATAAGAAACTGTCAGACTCGGCTCCTTGATGGAGTCTTCCTCCTGGGCCTGAGCGTAGCCCCGATTGGACGAGGCGTACGTGAGGATGGCGTCCGTCACGGAGTAGGGCGTGTGACCCTGCACGCAGTCCTGGATGTGACCGACCGGCAGCTGGGTCTGCAGGAAGAGGTGGAGCTGGCTGTCTGACAGACACACCGTCATGTTCACCACACTACCGGGACAAAAGGGACTCGTTATCAAGGTGGCTTTCTTTACAAAAACGTACTTTTATTACAGCAGATCAACAAGAACTGACTGGTCCAAGAAGGCCTGAAGTCCTTTCCTTCTCCTCTCCAGGAAGTCCTCGTTGCTGAAGTAGAAGAAGAAGAACTTTCCTGGAAGTTCTGGGACTGGCCTACAAGGACGAAAACAGGTTTTTAGATATTTGATTCAATAAATATGATATCAAAGTGCCATGTAGGTGACCTTTAGAAAAGACTGGTGACATGCAGACATGTTTCTCTTTTACCACAGCGTCATCAGACAAAACATTAAAATAGTAGAAGAGCTGCTCTCACTCTTCACAACAACTTACACCAAACCGGCGTTCTTCTGCAGCTTCTTCTTGAGCCAGGCGAACTCACTGTAGCGCCGACGCACACAGGACGTCTTGGCTGTGAAGGCTTTACTGTTGGTCTGTAAAGTAAAGAATGTATATATACTTGTTGCTTCATCACCATGAACACACACGCTGTAGTTTATTCTGACTCAATCACACACACACACGGATTAATCCGCCGCTGAAAATAGTCCCCAACAAATGCACTATTTCCTCCTGTTTGTTTTAACTAAACTGAATATTAGCTTTAAAAGATTTACATCTCCAGTGGACTTGGTGCTTCGTTTCAGTCTTTTGATGCGATTTGTTGACACAAAGAGAAAATACACGATAACACCAACCTTATCCTTTAATTTACAAAATGTATTAAAATGTATTTACAATCTATCCTTTCAACGTAATGCTGTAACTGAAATGACGCAACTGCTGCTGAGTTTAGAGCAGAACTGTCACATGTCAGATTTGTTCCAGTGACGTGTGACACAGTCAAGTATTTAACACGACTCCTGTTTCAATTCACTTCATTCTTAAACAGAAAATAACTGAAAACATTGTCTCGTTCCAGCTTTTAAACGTGAGTGTTTGATGCTTTTCTTTGGGTTTGAGAGAATTGGTAGAACCAGAAGTTGTGGGTAAAAATAAACCGATAACTCACTATTCTCCGACATGTTATCGATAAAATATTAAGGAGATAATCTGCAGGATAATCAATGTAATTGCTGGATGCAGACTTACACATTAAGAGTAGACATTGAGCCATGTTAATGTGTACTTTTTAGAAGTTTTAAAATATTCTACACAAATATCTGTGCTGAGTTTTTAGATGAAATAGTTAACTGTTGTGCATGTTCATAGTTTCTGTACAGAGATCAGTGACAGAAGCAGTGAAGTGTTTTCTAAAAAGGTTTTTGTGAAGATGAAACATTGAAAAGCTACTTGTTTGATTCTGGATTTATGATTCAAACATTCACCCGTGAAAAACAAAAGCATAACGATGACAACCAGAATGATAAAACATCATGTGACGTCACGTGACTTCAGCCAATTTCATGAGTCAACACCTTCACAGCATCCGTCTAGACGCGGAGCTTTGCTGCTGACACAGCGTTCAACACAACATCGACTCCTGTCCAAACCAAACGAGAGGAAGCCACGCTGCTGCCAGCTCGGTGGTTTACAGATCGGGGTTAGGTTCAGGAATCCAGTCTCAGTAACATCCCATTGTCTCATTCTAAGGTGAGGCTGGTTCATGTGTGGCAACAAATGCTCCTCAACGTCCTTCATCTTTATGTAAAGCACATTAGATGCAAACACTTCGTTTGTTGTCAATTATTTTCCAGATATATTTTCAGAAAATTGTGAAAAATGCTCCTGTCCAGCTTTCTTATCCCAATGTGTTGTCTTCATGTCTTTCTTTCATACGACCAACCATCCAAAACTTTAGAATATTCAATTTGCAAACTAAATAAAACCCGAAAAAGAAGAAAATCTTCACATCGGGAGAAGCTGAAACATCTCGGCTTCGACTTACATGATTAAATACACAATTGGTTTCAGCTCCCCAGTAGCTCACACTGAAAGTGTCCAGACATGTTGTAATATTAATGTATTGTAATCTAAGTATTAATACTCACATGGAGGAATATTTTATAATCCACGTATGAATTCCACGAGCCTTCGTTCTGCATGCGGGGATCTTGAACCCGCACCGCCACAAACTCCTGATGGACAGAAACAGAGTCACAAGTTTAAATAAAAACTGTGTATGTGAGTGTGTGTGTCTGTGCGTGTTTTGCAGCATCGTAGTTAAGAGTAGAGTGTAGATTAGAGTGTAGAGAAGACACGTGTCACCTCTTCAAAGAGCTCCTCAAATGCTTTAAAAAACACATCAATGGAGGTTTTGTTCTTTGTTAAGCGGAAGTTTAAGTTAAAGATTCACCAAAAGGAGAACTCACGTTAGATATTAATATTTTAGTATTGTGTATAAAAAAGGAGTGGGCGGTTACTTACATCTTCTTCTTGATTGCTGATCATCCTACTGAGTGCTGCACTGCAAAGAGGAGAAATCAATAAAGGATCAAACTGTCTTCTGTAGTTCTGTCATGAGCTGATGACTCATCCTCCAAAAAGAGAAGCTCGTCAGAGAAAATCCACTGAGTCACTGGAGCAAGCTTTTCACTCTTTTAGGGTTAGCGTTCGTGACTCAGACTATGAGGAGCTTTTTAAAGCAGTGTTACCTCTGAAACATTCCTTTCATCATCAAGTGATCAGCTGACTGCTTTTAAATAATCAATTAGTTGTTTAAAATCACATCATTCACAGTACAACGTGTACTGAAAGCAACTAAGAAAAAGAGATAGACTTAAAATAGACTTATTATAGAAGTTATTTTAAATTAAAGGAATATATATAT